GCAGTGCACACATTAACTGTTTGAGGTTTCAGAATTACATCCTGCTTTAATCTAACAATTGATGCAATATGAATATCTTCTTCGAGGGGTACATATGTATTATTAACTCTTAAGCAGCATAAATCAAAATATAATCTAACGCCATTTTGTGTTAACCAATCACGGCCTAAAATAATATTTCTATTCATTTTAGAAACAACATAGAATTTTTGAGTTGTTTCTGTTTTCCCTATTTGAAAATTTAGATTTATATAACCATCTGTATGTAAATAATTTCCGTCAACTGAACATAAATTTATTTTCTGTTTTATAAGTTGAGGGGGATTCTTCAATTTTCTATATATTCTGCGATGCAGAAGACAAACTTCAGCACCTGAATCTACTAACGATCTGTATTTATAGTTTTCTATTTTAATCAAACACGAATTAGGGCTTCCAGCTGATGCTATACTAAATTTTGGTATTTTATCGTTCCTGTCAATGACCCCTTTGTGACAGGAACTTGCTACTTTTCCTGAAAATTTATTTTGTTTCTGTCGTAAAAATTTTGTTTACGACATTCACGCATAATATGACCAAAATTATTACATTTCCAGCACTTAATCTTTGATTTCAAACTATATTTGCTATTATTAATCCTAGATGGTGAAAAATTTTGTCGGTGAAATACAGAATATATTTCATTTTTCCTAAATCTCCACCTACGCACATGGTGACCTGGTCTCTTACAGTACACGCAAAAATTTCTTGTATAATAATGATTAGAATTATTTGCTCTGTAATTATTGCATTTTGCGTGATTTTGAGAATTAGAAAATTTTACTCTGGCAGAAAATCTAGCTCTGAAATTCTGTTCATTCATTGCGCAAGTAATTGCTTCTTGTAATGTTTTTGGCTTTTTACTCATAAGTTTAAGTTTTAAATAATTATGCGCTAAATTATCAGTAAACAATTCTACTAACTGAAGTTCAATTAAACTATTATCTCCTAGTTTATAATTTTCATAAGCGGTTTCAGCACAATTAATAATTTTTTCCCCAAAAATTTGAACACTTTCTCCCAAATCTTGTTTTAAATTTCTCAAAAGATAAAATTCATGATGTAAATCTTTAATTTCCCCAAATCTAGTACTTATTTCTTCTTTTAATTGTTCCCACGAATTAAGAGGATTATCACGCAAATATCTACATATAAAAACGCTTACAGTCCTTTTACTTGAAATGCGACTAGTTTTATTTTATTATCATCCAAACCATTTAAAACAGTATATTTTTCTATAGATTTTATCCGGTCATTAAAATATTTAGAATTTCCATCAAAATTTTGTACTATTTCTGATAAACCCTGTGTACCTATGACAGTTGAAATATTTTCCAATTTATCTGATTAATTTTCAAAAATTGTAACTATTTCTTGATCTGACATCTTCAAAATTAGCAAATTACAGGTATATAAACGATCACTCACCTTTAATTTTCTGTTTCAGGTACTTCGTTGTGTCCCGCTGTCCAAAATCGTCGCTTCGACATCGCTGGTCTTAGGCGCCAAATCAACCGTTGTCGTATAACGGAGAAAGAACTCACGGATGTTACATACTTTTAATATACAAATATAAATACACCAGTGTACGAGTGGAATACCAAAGCCGAACTCCTCGACTGAATATCTAGCCCAAAATATATAGTGACAGTTTAAACATAAAATGTTATGAAATCTAGCCGACTTACAAATACGTTATCTATCATTTTGACATAAGCTCAGTTTGTATGTATCTTGCACTATAATACACATAAATCATGTCATGTTCCAGAGTTCATATTATGAAATAAAAACCTTAATATATGTATATACTTGTTGACTTGTCATTCTTTTTGAATATAGCATGTATGACTAATTAGCCTGTGCAACCAGCTATACGACACTTTCATAAGCATATCATATGTCTTTCCTGATATTACAAACGCCTGCTTTTGAATCTCAGTTTTTTTGGGGGGGGGGATTTCAAAAACATTAAACACATTTTAGCAAATTATAAATTTAAGTACTGTTGTTGTATACTTAGATTAAATTATTTTTGTTTGTTTACCTTTTTCCACAACTGTCATAAAAGTACAGTACACAAGAACTAGTGAAATCATGCCTACTTTAGCTTAATTTATAAGAATTTTAATTTAATTGTTTGCTGAAAATTAATGTAGCTTTTTTTTGTTTTCATTTGATAGATTCTGTAAACATCTTCAAGATAAATAAAATGGAATTTTGAAAGGGGATCAGAGGTTATGAAGCCTGCGTATCACAGATAAGACGTCAAAAGACAAATTTAAAAAGCAGGCAACATATCCTAAGGGTGATTCAACATTATTCAAGTAGGAATATCGGAACCACCCAAATAGAAAATGCCGAAAAGTTGAAACTAAAAATACCACAAGCACAACAATAATGTCGTGCTGAATGATCTTCAAGGATCGAAAATATAACATCATTGATTAAATGTGCGGGGAGACTTTTTACAGCCGCCACACGGCACAAATAACACGGATGTAATCATAAAATAGATAAATACAGAATCCCTAAAGAAAGCCCAACACGGCAAAATTGAAAATGTTGCAGGCTCGGTTTGATTGAGCCTGTTCATGGACGGTACTGGAAAGTGCAAGTTACCGTCCACGCCCCCTAGCACCGGCTTAAGCAGAATTCAACATTTAAACGTGAAATAGTAAAATTTTGAAAATTTCAAATTTTTAAAATTTCTTAAAGACACTGGTTGCAAGTTTAGCGGTAGTTAAGAAAATAGCCAAAGAAGATCAAAAGCTGAAGAAAATTTGTGTCATGACAGCAATATATGGTCACCCATTCCACAAATGTACATTGATACATCTTATAAGTGCGAGAAAAATGAATATGTGATTAAGAGTAAGTAATTTGTGACTTTGTGTTGGGCATTATTCGAGGTGTACTTGATACGCGAAATGAGAAATTGTTTAGCCAAGAAAAATACATAGAGGTTGTTATGACAAGAACACAGGCGGAGAAAGCGAAGAAAGCATTGAAACATCTTAAAGGTTCCAACGGTCGAAGATAACAAGAATTTTCTTGTCGGCTTCTATTATTTCCTTTCATGTATTTATTAAAGTGATTATATTGTCCTTACTCTGCCTTGTGCCTAGTCCTGTTTTTGTGTGGGGTCCTCCTGGACACCTTGACGCTTGTCCTTGTTATTAGATCGTGTGAAAGTTTCGTTGAGTGAACGCCGCCTTGCTTTGTTGATCTTTCTTATTATATTTTACTAAAGAATAGAGACTGATAATATAGACAATTATTCTGTTGACAACTACTAATAATTTATTTTATACTTATCATATGTTCTGCTTTCTCATGAATGCCAAATCTGTTAAGTCTATTTTTCAGTTAATTATATTTTCCAATACCTATTTTTCCTGTTGATTCAGAGTTCATAATGTTTTCACACCAATTACATATACCAAATTATTCAATTTCTGCAGATATTCTTCCCAAGCTCAGTATACCAAAACAAACACTCATGTTTGCTTTTTTCCCATTTTTTTTAAATTACATTTTTATTTTCCATCATCGCCAATACTTTTTGCAGTAATTGCATTTAATTTTCACCTTTAGTATCGAGGAAAGTAACTTAGTAACAAAAAGTATTCACTTCGTTGGGCATTTATTTGTTTTAATTGATTCTCCTTTGACGTTTCAACAACCATTTTTTCTTTTCCAGAGCTGATATTAAACCATCAAGCCTAGCATTTTGTTGTTTAATAATGAATTTTATAAATTTCATTACGTCTTGATTCAATATTATTTGCTATTATTTGAAGATGTTGCCTGTGTTATTCTTATCTGTTTAAATATTGAAATTTGGGTTCATGATCATAACCTCTGACTGAGGAAGCTTTTATCTAGCTCTGGTTTATGTTTTGCAAACCTACTTAGTTTTTAAAAGATTTGAATTTCTTAAACCTTTTACCCCATGAACCTATTGCGAAAAATGGCCACTTTCATTGAAAAGCCTCCTGTAACAAGTTCAAACTGCTATGAAAAGTGCTTCAATGCTTCGATGGGGGACGGCGCCGAAAAAGTGGTCATTTTTTTAACAACATTTCTCAAACGAAAAACAGTGTTTGGGGCCTAAATAGGACATTTTATCACTGTTTGAGGCCTCAAAAGAAGGGGGGGGCAAAAAGCCATCGAAGCACGCTTATATAAGGAAAAAGGTAAATCTAGTTCTGATTTTAACCTGTTCAACCTTTAATTGATACATACTCAGCATATTATATTCTCTGTTTCATTAATTTTTTTTCAAGTTTATTTTGTTTAATCATAATTATTATCATTTATGTCAGTTATTTTCTTTAGTATCAAAATTTTCCATAAGCTTTGACAGTGCGTTTTCAAAAAGACTTAATTTCATCAGCAATGCTATCTTGGATTTGAATAATTTTATTTCTATTGTCATTAAAGTTTTCATTTTAGAATTTTACAAAAAAATGTGAAGAATTAAATTAAATATGAAGTATGTTGACTCAGTATTTGCGTTTCTTTCATCATAATTTTCAAAGATATACTATTGTAATGTATCAATTTAAAGTATGTGTTTACATACAGTACTGATGCATTATAGCGTATCATAAGCTTTAGGATGTAATCACGTACATTTATTTTTTTCAAAAAAAATAAATAAATAAATAAACATCACGTTTTTGAGAACAAATATGGCGCTGTCCATATAGCCGGCAGTTCACTGGGTGAAAACAAACTTGCCCATTAAAAATTGAGTCTAGTATTTCCAGTTTCAAATAACTTTAAACATTTGTTTCTTTCAAAAAACTTTCTTTACTTCAACAGACACCGATATTTTGATACTTGTCCAATGCGCAGTTTAATTGCGTAGTTAGGAAATAGTCTTTTCTGGAAATCCGATTCAAAATGAACGTGAAACACATATGTTGGTAATCAGATCTATATGTCAGATTGAAAGTGAATGTCACATATATATATTTTAATCTAACATTCATTGATATTAAACTTTAAAGTACACTGAAATGTTAGTGTTGGAAAATAGCAGCAGAAGTATTTTCTTGATTTTCTTGTTCCTAGAACAGTGTGTATCATCTAGTGTTTAATAGCCGCCGAACAGTAATATTGAAAATGAAAAGGGTGAACATTGCAGGTCTAGACTACATAACACGTTGTTTTGGGTATATGTAACTATGGATAAATAAATCATTAAAACATCCTCGGAATAACTAACTGTAACCGTACGGTGCTAAATTATGTTTAAGGTTTGTCTTCTGAATTTTCTCTGTTTTATAAAACATATTTGATTCCCGCGCAAAAGATATACACTTGATACAAGCGATAAAAGAATTAATAAAATATGTTTTTAAATATTGTTTATACATAAATTATATGTTTGTACATCACATGGTCAGTTATGCAATTCATTGTCGATACATAACCCTACATAACCCATAAACAATAATTTAAAAGTGCATCTGTATAATGTTTAATCTCATAGATGATAAAGGCTAGTTCCTAGATATTTGATGTATAGCATATTCGAATCCATGTTTATACATGCAGGAGGTCAATTTTCATGGACGTACCATAATAAAATCCTGTATTGTAGATATTCCTTCTTATGAATTAATACTTTACTTGAGGAGCTAAAGACACTTTCCTGCCTATTAAAATATCTGAGCTAGAAACTCATTAATATTTATTGCCTAATTGTCTCAATTTTGATATTATTATGCAGTGAAATTTAAATTGTTATATAAAACCTCAAAGATAAAGTGAATGACCTGACAATGTTTACATACATTACTTATTCGTTTGTGCATATTTGCAGGTTCAATTGTTGTTTTGTGTGTTTTTTGTCTCCATTGGATTGAATTTAGTTATTTTCAATACAAACTTTAAAGAAAACGAAGAGCAACTAAGTCATGAATGGAAAAATGGCACATTTAGGTATGATTTAAATTTAATATATTAATTTTAAGTTAACTGTGAAATATCCTTTTTTCAATTTTACACAAAAATAAATCATCAAGACCAAAATCACCCGATTTATGTTACAAAGATATTAACATTAACGCTTTTATTGCGTCAATGTATAAATAAACGAGTTCGAAAAATGAAAGAGAAAATAGTTTGTGATGTGTTCAAAAATAGATTTACAGCAGGAAAACGTACTTCGTTAGTTTAAAGTAAAACTATTGTATTAATTTATTTTTTTCAATTTCGTTAAGCCTATCGCACGGATATCACGAATGTTAGTACTGTAATGAAACTATTTTTGAAATCGAATTTTTGTTTTGTTGAAGTGTTTTATTTTCCTTCTTAATATTTTATATCTGATATGTTGAAATTCCACATACAGTACAACAACCCTTACCAACACATGTATTGAAGTTCGGGAGCTGACAACCATACAACAACATTATCATCAACTAACATTTATCATTGTATACAGATGGCATATTATTCATTTTTGCTAATGTTTAAGTAACCATATAAGCATCAAGTACCAGTTTCGTTTTTAAATAGAATGGCATATTGCTTTTTGATTTTTGAATTTCTAACATTTAATAAGCATTTCCATTGTATTCTTGACAAAAAAAAACATACCAACATTTCATGTAAAATTAAAAACTCGATACAGTTATATATAGTTAAGTTAGGTTTCAAAATAACATGTTACGATTTCTAACACTTAAATGCTAAAAATATCAATTCAGGTCAATATCTCAAACGCTTAACAAACAGAAACAATTTCGAAGCCAAAATGCAATTATACCTGACAAAAACGTCGTGAAGTCCAGAAATTGTGAGGATGTCAATACTTCCGCAAGCCCATTGCTATCCACATTACTGCTAGGTAAATATACAAGTGCTTTGTTTATTATTCCATATTTGTCCGGTTCTGAGTTAATGCAATAATACCAATAAAACCAACTCTGTTTCATGTTTTTTTTCTAAAATAAGCTTTGATATTTAAGACAGAGAAGAAACAATATTAAATAAATAACATAAATTAGACGACTATGAATTTTCTTGATTGTGGATCAGATTTTGAAACTTATATAATGTAAAGAATAATACAAATAGCTGTCATGCAACATTGATAAAATCATTTTTACCTCCTCAATTTAGAACGCTTAGATCAGTTATTTAAAATTGGAGATAGAATACGTGTTTTTGTACAACTATTTGATTCCTATGGGAAAAGGAAAACAACAGGCGGCGATTATCTTCGTGCTAGAATATGGAAAGAAGAGTTTAATATGACAGCACCTGGAATAGTGTTTGATAATACAAACGGATCATATCTGATAATATTTGAATGTTTCTGGAGCGGACCATCACAGATAATTGTATCAATAGCATATACGCAAGAAGCTGTTTCAGCACTGTTTAAGTTAATGACAAAGGTAGGTATTTGCATTCTAGATAGAGTTCAATTGAAGCCATATCTATACAGGAAAATATTATATTAAGCAAGCATTCTTATTCTGTTCTGTAAATTCCACGGTACGTCTAGTAAAATGCAATGGGCTCACATACAGCAATGTATGACTTTGCAAATATAGCTGATTTTCAAGTAAATGTATAAGCTTGTTTGTCACGGGAGAGCTCGTACCTGTCAAGGTTCAGCGTTCTCATCTTGCCTTGCACCTAGATTGACTTTTAAGAATGAATTTACATTTGTGAGAGTCTTACAATACGTACATTTTTATCTTTTAAGTTTAAACAATCATCAATGATATCTATGATATGTATTATCATCTGCTCCAAATTTGAATTAACATTATCGCCACTTTAAGATCAAAAACATTAAAACAAAAATAACCAGCAATATAGCATCATATGATAAATACATAATTGTTAGACTGACTCATTACTAAAGTTTTTACAGTATTTTAACGCTTGACTGGACCCATATACAAATATAAATTTTGGCATTCGTTTCTAATTTGTGCTCATTTATAAGAGTAAACTGGTGTTCTTGGAATCTGTATCACACACAAACACACACAAGCACACTCGCACGCACGCACACACAAACACATTTTAAAAGAAAATTAAAAGAAAAATATGATGAATCAATCGCTTTACAACAAGTGATATTTTATTTCTTCCTAATTGAAAGCATCTGTCATAATTTGAAGCATTATTATTTTCACAAATTAATTAATATGTCAATACAATTGATTCTCTAAACATGATATTTCAATCAAAATGAATATCATGCAGGTACTTGCTATGGTAAACATTGAAGCAAGATACGAACGTGGAAATGAAACGGAAGATTTGTTCTGTCATCCCGACATAGACCGCTTAAAGATACATACACATTATAAAGAAATTTGCAATTTTACTAGTTTGAATTCGGGATTACCATGGTTTTGTGGGAAACCTAAAAGAAAAACTTTAGAATGCAAGGATTGGAAATATAGCAGACATACATACCAAGATAATACAATTTTGCTAAATCAATGTGAAAAAGATGTTTTGAAAAGGTAAGTAACGGATATTTAGTTTCGAGTCATTACAAGCTTAAAAAGATATTTTAAGGTCTCTTGCCAAAAATGGGCATGTGTTTCTGTTTTCAATTGATTTTGCTAAATTATAATAAACATGATTAGGAAATGTTTTGACATGTCCATGAATGAAAAAGAACGTCATTTAGAAATTCGTTTTTTTCCGTAACGCGATTGGATATTCCCGCCACCCTTTTCACTGACGACGTAGTAATGTCCCTATCAGTTGATCTATATGCCAATTTTACTCCTACGTAAATATTACCCACTAATCAATCAAAATGTGAAATGTATAGCGTGATATAGCTGTTTTAGAAGTTTTTGTCGTATACGAAGATTATGGAAAGGAATCTCACATTGTCTTTGATCATAAAGAGCAAAACTGAACAAGATTTTAAATAAACAGCTCCGACTATTTCAACACGTATTGCCATACCACTAACAAATATCAAAAAAGATAAGCAAACCAATATCAATAAAATAATCCATCCTGTTATAGATATTTTAATGGCATGGAATCGATCACTATTTTTTAATGTTAATCATTAACGTTTCTAACATTCTGTTTTCTGCATTAGCGTGAAAAAGGAAGAAATATATCGGTGTTTTGTCTATAAACATCACATGTAACTATCCACTTAGTCTTGTAAGTTAAAAGTGTTTTGTGTTGGCACTCAATTTAGTATGTAATTTTTTTTAAAGATTTGACTCTAGAAACGTTGACCTGAGTTTAGTTTGATAGAATTTAATGCCTACATTCATATAAGATTAAAACAAATGTAGATTTACGCGGACTTACATAAGTAATACTAGAAAAGAGTGCGCAGCGGAACTTTTTAAACAACTTGTTTATCTTGACATCGAAAAAGTCATCTTTTCGGAGCATGGTAGTTATTTTGCCGGTAGTTTGGTTCAAGCATATAACTTAAAACTACCCTCAGCGAATAAGTGCATACATATCATGTACGTAAATGAAAATAATTTTACGAATGAAAAATATATTTTAAAAAGAGATCTATGTACGTCACTTCCATTTTTAGGTCCCATCCGAATAACGGAAAGCGACACTTACATCTGTTTGAGAAAAAAAATTATAACGGTTGTACTAAGCAATTCATTTACGCGTAAATTTTGACAAATACACTTTATTAAGTTTGTTCTATATAATCAGATGTTACAATTGGCCAAAATTTTAAGTTTTATTACGTTATATTGTGTCTTCGCAAGTGTACATGACCAAGAAAACATATCAATTTTCGGATAACAAAAGAAAACACGAACGAAAAAATCGTTTCTAACTCCGCACTCTCCTAGGAATATAAATGAGTCATTGCTCTTCTTCAGATGTAATGCATAAAACATAAAGCCGCCTTTAAGACGAGCATTTGAAGAATGGCATGCGAAATTGTGGCTAAATAATAAAATGTGTGTACTTTAGTGAAATTAACTTATTACCCAGATTAAAATCAATGAAATTGATAGACAACAAGCAATTACCATAGCATTGCAAGCAATCTATAAGTCCCCTACCGGTAAGGACCCCAGCAACATTCTCAAAAGTGATCTCAGGAAACAGGTTATTTTCTTATTAAAGAAAGACAGACAGACAGACTGAAGGACACTCTAAAATTTTATTTTAAACATCCCTGTTACCATAATATAACATTTTTAAAGCAAAATTCTTAAAGAGGAGATAACTGTTGAAAATAAAGATGATAGACTTATGAACATTGTCATACATGTTGTGAGTGTTACAAGGACTATTATTTTAAGTTTAAAAATACCATTTATAGTCACAAACAAGAAAGTAAAAAATAACAATTTTCAGATATACCATTAACATGTATAGTAACAAAGATGAAAAATAAAAGATATATATATAACAATGTAGGTGTTGATAAATACTTTTTATTTTGCATTCGAAGTAAACCCATGAAAAAATAAGAAAGTTAAAGAATAAGAAAGAATCAAAGTTTAAGGAGGAGATTCTGGAAATATGGATTCTAGATTTATACATATTGTTAAATTATTATGATGTGGAAGTTTGAAGTTAATCCTATAAGGAGTGAAGAAGATGTAGTAAAAATTACCAATTTCCCGAAAATCAACTAAGTGCAAGGGGGATATAATTCGGGAAATAGTCTTGCTTGAGTTTTGAACCTTCTCACAAATGATTTAAGTAATAACAAGAAATTGAAATGTTAAAAAGCTGACATTTTGCACATGTATTCATATATTAACCTTCGCAATATATAGCAACAGAGATATCATTACATTTTATTTGACGTTAAAGGGGACATTCTAAGCAAAATATTCAACTTTGTAGATAGGTTACCTAAGATGACATCTCAGGCTAAAGCTCCAAATTAACATAACTTACTTTAAATCGCACCAAAGACTGTTGACGTTACTATATTAATGTGCTTTAGATCGCATAAAAAAGATTATACAAACTATCAACATAACTGTTAATTTGCTTAAGATCGCCCTAAAGACTTGAAGTTAATATAATCTTAACAATGCTTTTTTGATTAAGATGGTACCAAAGGCTTTTCCAAACTGTTAAAATACACGCAGGTGATTATTCCTTTCGATAAGTGTCCATTATGTTTCAGGAAAGGACACTTTGATAACAATAGCTGTCCATTTTTTGTTAGACTTATAACATTCTTAACATCTGTGAAAAAGAAATAAAGACGTAAAACTGAAATACAATATTTTCAAGAACTTCTACCATTATCAGATTACTCCCGGTCTGAAAAATATCCTTGCTTTGAATGAAAAATTTATCGGAATGAAATACAAAATTAATACATCGATTTAAACACTTGCTTATTAGCCAACTAAAGGAAAAGAAAGTAAACGCACATGTATATCATTCTATGCATATCGCAAAATATAAATCTAAAATATATTTTCAAAAGATATTAAATAACATATTTACTGGTTATTATACATGTATAGCATATCTAATTTGTCTCATATGCAAAAATGTTTTCAAGAGTGTAAATCATTTGAAAAAAGTATCAACTCAAAATAAATAAATAAATAACATATGTGATTTTTAATATGTATCATATGCTATAAGGATGACCATGTATGTATTGTCATTTTATTAATAATTAATCAGAACAATAAATCTTTTTTCATTCCGGGTTGGCAGCTTTGTGTTTCATTATATAGCCGATCCCAACTTTAAAAGTGCAATTGCTTTATTTAACGGATTATTCCTTATTAAGCATCTAATGATATTTTGGAATATGTTTTGGAATTAGTTTCAACAAAGATATCCAAAAAAAAATTACGTTTCAAGTTTTGCCATTCATCGGATGAATGTCTTTCAATATATAGTTCGTTATCATTGTCAAAGTAACTCATTATCATATATTTGCAATCTAATTTGTGAATGGCACAATTAAATAAATTTTAAAACAAACACCCAAAAATAATTATTTTAGCATTCCCTATCATTTTTCAATATCACTGTGTACATGTACATATGCCTGTTGTTACGATTTGGTCTATTTTTGACCGATATATGATTGACACAGTCATTTACGCAAACGAAAACACTTGAGCGATTTTATCCATGGCACGGACAACTATTGTGTAGACTCTCCATTACTTAACTTTATTGTGTAAGCGTTTTACAAGTGAGCTTTATTGTCCAGTCTGAAACAAGGTACTTAAAAGGGTTCCAATCAACTTTATTTATTCGCAAAACGTTGATCAACTTAGCATAATCTGTTAATATTGCACAAAGAATTGTAGTGGTATATTTTAAGTAGGAGACAGTCATCGTATCTCTCGATTCCAGAGGAATAATGAACACTCGACATCTTCGGGGCCTCGTCTCCATTATTTTTCAGGAATGGACTGATTCTCGGCCTTCCTCAATTACATAATTTGCTTGCGATTGGACAAAAGGCTAGAAGAAACTATAAACAAGAGCCACCGGCGGGGAAAACGCTCGACTTTTTACTTTCTCTAAAAGCAAACATGGAAATGTTTGAACAAAATCTTAACGTTTCCTTTTTTATAAAATTAATCGGTCTGTCTTGTCACATAAATTTTGTCTATAAATTTTGTATATATAAATATACTAAATTATATATATATATATATATATATATATAGAAACACGCAATTCTATAAATAGAAACACGCAATTCTATAAATAGAAAATTCTATAAATATGGTGGTGGAGTCACTTGGTGGTGTCACGTGGTCGAGTCACTTGGTGGTGTCATGTGGTAGAGTCACGTGGTGAAGTCACTTGGTGGAGTCACGTGGTAAAGTCACGTTGAGTCACGTGGTGGAGTCACGTGGTAAAGTCACGTGGTGGAGTCACGTGGTAGAGTCACGTAATGAAGTCACGTGGTAAAGTCATGTGGTAAAGTCACGTGGTAGAGTCACGTGGTAAAGTCACGCGGTAAAGTCACGTGATACAGTTACGTGGTAGTCACGTGGTACAGTCACGTGGTAAAGTCACGTGGTGAAGTCACGTTGTCAAGCCACGTGGTGAAGTCACGTGTTGAAGCCACGTGGTGAAATCATGTGGTAAAGTCACAACAAGGTCTTGTCCTAAAGTATGTTCTGTTATAATATGAAGTTGATCCCTTCAATAATAGCAAAGTTACAGCCAGTTACAGCCAAAACAATGAAAATTTCAATTATTTGAACTTCAAAGTCAAGGTCATTAATAAGTGAAGGTCACGGTCTGTCTAGTTATTTTTAAGGGTTATCCTTGAAGATTATTATGTTCAAGTTTGAAGACAATCCATTCAAAAATAACAAAGTTACAGCCAATAATAGCCAAAAAAATGAAAATTTTAATAATTTGACCTTCAAAGTCAAGGTCATTTATGAGTGAAGGTCAAGGTATGTCTGGCTATTTTTAAGGGATATCCTTTCAGATTATTATGTTCAAGTTTGAAGACAATCCATTCAAAAATAACAAAGTTACAGCCAATAACAGCATGAACAAGTAAAATTTGGACTTTTAACCTTGAAGGTCAAGGTCATTTATGGATGAAGGTCAAGGTTAGTGTGGGCTACTGAAAGGTCTTGTCCCAAGGGTTGTTGTGGCCAAGTATGAAGACAATACACCAAGAAATAAAAAAGTTATGATCCAGGTACAAGTTTGCGGACGGCAACGGCAACGCCGCCGCGACTATAACAATACCTCTACATTTTTTTTTTTCAAAAAAAAAGGTCGAGCTAAAAACATAACTATAGTAATTTGTTTTATATCAAAGTAAATAATTGACCAAACTATTTACATATTACGACAATATGCTTAAGATTCCACCTAAGCATTGGACAAACTAAAAACTTAAATTAACTTCATCATAACGATGTTTTTTGTTTTTGTTTTAGAAGACATTGTTAAGGCATGAAATATTTACAGAACTAGTTACTTCCTATTTCATTCGCTCCATAGGCTAGACCAAGTCAAAGCTAAAGATCGCCCTGACGTTTTAAAAAACTATTAACAAAACTATATTTACCTCTTTTTCGATTGTACGAATTGTTCATTCAAACAATGCTGTTTATTCTCTTCAGATCGCACAAATGGCTTTGGCACACTATTTACGTAGCTACGTTAGATTTTGTTATACCGCACCAAAAGCTTAAACAAAACTAACATCATTACATTAATTCGCGCTTTAGATCGCACCAAAGGTTTGACCTACCTATTCTAATTTTCAATAAATCATAACAAAGGCTTGGACAAACTATATAGATAACCTTTTTATCTAAATCACTACAAAGGCTTGATTATAACTATTCATGTTATTATGTTAATTTACTTTAGATCGCATCAAAGGCTTGAACAAACTATTAACGTTTCTATTCAGGAGGCAAAGCAGACGACAGAACGCCTCTCTTGTTTCAAATATAATATTACTAATTTGTGGTTTCTGAAACAGACAACCGGATATTTACAGAACACGACTTGGCATACAACACATTGCAAAGGTACAAAAATTACACAGTGATAAACACTAACTGAAGTTAAATATTTCTAATAGCAAGTATAATATGTATCTTCACCATGACAATCATTAAGTAACCTTGTAACGACAAGCATGATTAAAAGGCTTATTGTGACTCTTATCAATACTGCAGAAGGAAGGCATGAATATAATGTATAATTAACAAACAGCTACGCAAAGGGGCCAGTAATCTTAATTCATCATTAAAATAAAATTAGAACATTATACATTAACTTGGCATTGAAAAAATGACAATATTATTTCTTGATTGTTCTGTATAACCAATTTGTAGAATCCTTAACATTCCTAATGTGTACCTTTCATTACAATGACTTATTTCAGGTTTAATCGGAAAAAAACTTGGCCGTTGTATCAGAAATAAAACGCTTTACCTATTTGGAGACTCAACTGTTAGACAATGGTATTCAGCAATAAAAAGACGGATTAATTGTAAACAATTTACGAAGAAAATGACATATCCAATATCTAAATTAACAAAAGCAGGATGTACCGCGACAAATAATAACTTTACAATGTTTTTAGCACCGCATTCTTATCCGTTTTATATTAGCAAAAACCACTGGAAATATGCTTTGGATTATTTAACTTCAATATCTAGACGAATTGACCAAATATCACCATTTGAAGATGCAGTCGTTTTGATCCATGTATTTGCACACATGAAAACGTTCCACTATAAAAACTTCAGGAAAACGATCAGCCACATCCGTCATGCCATTGAAAGACTTTTAGAAAGGAATAAACATGTTAAAATATTCATTAAGATGCCACATACATTTACTGAGAATATTGCAGGATTGAATGACTTTTTCGGATGGCAATTTTCAAAAATAATATTCGAGACATTTGATGGGCTATTTGATGAAGTAATACCCTTAGATCAAAAAGACGCAACCATTGCAGCAATGTCAAAATTCTTGCACCCCCCTAACTTTATAGTTGAGGCTATGGTTAATCAAATGTTTAGTTACGTGTGTGAGTAATTGATCACACTTGAGAAATTTGGAGAAAACAACAAATATTTAGATTACCTAGATGAGCAGATATTCATTTTCTTTTGTTTAGAATCTTAGGTCAATCAAAAAAATGTTATGAAATACAACTCAGTTACTGAAAGTGACAAGTTACGGTTAGTTTATATGAATGCAAACACCATGTTGCCGGTGCTAGGGGGCGTAAAGTATGTTGCACTTTTTCAGTAGCTATCACGAACAAACTCAATCAAACCGTGTCTGCACGTTTCATATATTTTTGCTGTTATAAATGATTGCGAGGGATCACTTTGTTTCCATATATTTATATTGTCTGTAAGATGATAGACACAAGAATTAAAACGGAAATTTATTTAGAAAAACAAAATAAACATGTTTGATTTAGCCCGGTTTTCAATTTTTCGATTTTAAAATTCATTTTATTTAGTTCCACATTGTTTTCTCGTTTAGGGCATATGCATTTTTTTTACTTGGGGACCATATGCCGCTTTTCATGGAATGGCACTTACGTGTCACATTGAAGGTTCCATGATAACCGCCATATGAACACATCTGCGGATGTTTCAAAATTCCAAATTGTACCATTTCATGTTTAATGTTGAATTCTGTTTAAGCCGGTGCTAGGGGGCTTGGACGTTAGTTTGCACATGACAGGACCGTCCATGAACAGGCTCAATCAAACCGAGCCTGCAACATTTTCAATGGGTTGCCGTGTTGGGCTTTCTTTAGGTATTCTTATTTTTCTCTATTTTATCGCCACATCAACGTTGTTTGTGTCGTGTGGAGGCCGTAAAAAGTCGACCCGTACATTCAATCAGATATGTTACACTTCCGATCCTTGCAAGATGCGTTCAGCACGACATAATTGTTGTGCTTGTGTTATGTTAGTTCTTTCTATTCGGCATTGTTCTCATTGGGTGGTTCCAGTATTCCTAACTTGAATACTGTTGAATCACCCTTGGGATATGTGGCCTGCTTTTTAAATTTGTCTTTTGACGTCTTACCTGTGTTATGCAGGCTTCATAACCTCTGATCCCCTTTCAAAAATCCATTTTATTTAGTTCAGCCCATTGTTTTCTCGTTAAGGGTATACGTAGTTTTTTACTTGGGGACCATATGCCGCTTTTCATGGAATGGCACTAACGTGTCACATTGAAGGTTCCATGATAACCGCCATATGAACACATCTGCAAATGTTTCAAAATTCTAAATTTTACCAGTTCATGTTAAATGTTGTTTCTTTAGGGATTCTTATTTTTCTCTATTTAGTATTCATCAGGACGCTAGAAGATATTGTGAAATGTTGCTACGTCATTTTTCCGATCTATTTTTTAGGGTCACTGATCCCAATTCTTTTGGCATTAAAAAGTAAGTAAAAAGAGGCAACCAGTTATCTCTCATGAACCATTCAATTAAACAAAGAATTTGGGTTCAAATTATTTTTTTCTTTGAAGATCAAACTTACAGGAAATATATTTTATTTTAACCAGCTATACAAACATCTTCTTATATTAAGACTTGTATTTATTATAGAACTAAAACAATAAGACCATATAGCTGAAAATTTAGCATATAAAGCACTAAGGGTGAGGCAGATTCGAAACACAAATATGTAGAAAATAAACAGTGTTAGCGGTATTACCTATCATTTCAATTTTAATTACTCATGAGCAATGGTGCGAAATAAATAATATATAAATCTTTAGACTTGCAAATAACATTTGGAAACAGGTTCAATAAAAGTTATGTGTTGCACTCGCTGTTTTAATTTTTATTGATTATTTGTGTCAACAAATAAATGTTTGGAAAGTTTTGCCACTGCATTCACAATAAGTTTTGCAAATAAAAATGTGTTCATTTATATAAATAAGAATAAATATAATGAAATTACCTCATGTAAGGTTTTATGTATATAAATGGTTAATAAAACATTTACAAACACAACGAGCCAGTGTAAGGGTCTCACGCAAACGACGTTAATGGGTTTTGCTCATATGGAAATTAGCTCAGCCTGAAATATAAAATTTGGAATTCTTATAGGGACACATCTAGTCTAGCGAACCCAAGGCCCCGTGTTTACAAAGATTTAAGGATGAGGATCAAGATAAGGATCAAATTAAAAAAAATCTGATATTCTTCATTGAATTATTAAATATCTAATATCAATATTAATGGATAAAACTGGACTTGCAATTGCAAGTTTATGAAATTTTAGAGTAAATTGATTTTTATTTTTGCAAGATACGGGCATTGAGTTGATCCAAATATTGATCTTGATCCTAAAATTGATCCTTATTTTGATCCGAATATTTGTATTTGTATTGTTATTTGTTGATTTTATCACAAAAATGGTTTGTTTCATTCTAGCAAAACACGATTAATTTAGTAACATAATACAATGAAAATAAAATCAGGTTCACTTGATCCTGATCTTTTCTTAGTGAACACAGGGCCAGAAGACAAAAAAAAATGTTAGTGCACATGCATTTTTGGGGCTGCCCTCCTCGAAAACCCCGCTTTTTTGCATACTTATTTTCATAACTAGAACACAATTCGTTCAGTAAGACTACTTCTTAGCTTAAGCTGTCGGAAAGTAATATTACATCGTCACCCTTATCCTGATCAACGTCATCATTACTATTCTGTGTTTCTATAGCCTCGTCGTCTGAGTGTAAAAGTAAAAATAAAAAGCCCATTGAACAAATGCAGGGTACTCAAAGCAACATGCAAGTTAAATTATGTAAGTTTATATATGAAGGTATCAGAGCATTGTTAATATGATGTCTGATAAAACTTATTAAAGTATGTAACGTTTCAGATTAAATTGTATACAAATTGTCCGTGTTGTGTCATGTTGACAAGTTTTATTGTATCATTGTATGCATGTGTTTGTGTAGTAAGAAACATAATGTTTACGTTACCAATCAAATATTACTTTTTGGAAAACAAACACAAACAATAAAACAACAATAAAAAAGAGTGTTTTGTAGGTTGACCTTTTATGCAATGGTTGCATATTTAAATGAAATTATGGTGAAATTATCAGAAAGGATATGTTAAACACTTTCATCTGAAACTTTACCGATTCAGCAAATTAAAATAAACTAAAACGTGTAAATAATATACACTTATTCCTTCTTTTTTAAGTCCTCGAACATTGCATTTGTGACACACTCTTCAACTTAGAAAGAATAGTTTTTCTAATTTTCTTTAACTTAAAACAAATTTAAATTGAAACGAAATATCAATATCAACACATAACCTGTTATGAATTTGATATTTTATGACTATCTTTGAACTGCATAAGCTGCTGGTACTTTTTCTCCCTCATGTAACAGTATTCTATCGTCACAGACATCCGAAGCATCGACTCTTAGGAGTAAGAGTCTAAAAATGCTCACTATTTTAAGACATATCGCATGCTAAGTGTTCAACCCTTTTTTTTTCAGTTGGACAATACGCTTTCCTCTTTAGATGACATCTTATGCACCAAGTGGTAAACTCTATAATGAGCAGTTCTTGAAGCCATTTAGGACTGAATTGACTGAATGTTCGTCTTCTGTCATGCTTCTTCAGGCCTTTGAAGGCGATTTTCTTGTTGCCCTGTCTTAAAGACATTGAGTACTTTTGTATTGGTCATTGGGTTTACTTTTATATGTATCTACATGCTCATTTCTGTGTTGTATTTATTTCACATTTTGTAACTATAAGAATTTCGCTTAGCGGGATTAATTTTATTTACAATGTCTAGTTTTAAAAGGAGCATGGTGGGGCTAAGCGTAAGTTTTGATGCACCATAAACCGTTTTAACTCCCCAGCAGTAATTAAGACATTGAGTACTTTTGTATTGGTCATTGGGTTTACTTTTATATGTATCTACATGCTCATTTCTGTGTTGTATTTATTTCACCTTTTGTAACTATTAGAATTTCGCTTGGCGGGGTTAATTTTATTTACAATGTCTAGGTTTAAAAGGAGCATGGTGGGGCTTAGCGTAAGTTTTGGTGCACCATGAACCGGTTTAAACTCCCCAGCAGTAATTATGCTGCTGACCGTTTTTGTTTGTGTCCCTTTTAGTTGTTTTCTCGTCTACGGTAAGTATCTTCCTTTTTGCCCCTAGCTTTATTTTTTTAACTTTGCCACTTTGTGGGCCGTTAATGCCTTTCTTTAGGGATTCATATTTTCTTTATTTTATCGCCACATCAGCGTTGTTTGTGCCGTGTGGAGGCTGTAAAAAGCCGCCCCTTACATTCAATCAGATATGTTATATTTCCGATCCTTAAAGATCGTTCAGCACGACATTATTTGTGCGCTAGTGGAAATTCAGTTCTTTCCATTCGGCTATTTTCATGTTGGAAGGTTCCAGTATTCCTAACTTGAATACTGTTGAATCACCCTTGGGATATGTGGCCTGCCTTTTAAATTTGTCTTTTGACGTCTTACCTGTGTTATGCAGGCTTCATAACCTCTGATCCCCTTTCAAAAATCCATTTTATTTAGTTCCGCCCATTGTTTTCTCGTTTAGGGTATACGTAGTTTTTTACTTGGGGACCATATGCCGCTTTTCATGGAATGGCACTAACGTGTCACATTGAAGGTTCCATTATAACCGTCATATGAACACATCTGCGAATGTTTCAAAATTCAAAATTGTACCAGTTGAATGTTGAATTCTGTTAAGCCCGTACTAGCGGGTGTGGACGGTAGTTTGCACTTGACAGTACCGTCCTTGAACAGGCTCAATCAAACCGAGCCTGCAACATTTTCAATTTTGCTGTGTTGGACTTTCTTTAGGGATTCTTATTTTCTCTATCAATAAATCAGTTCTTTCTTTCCTTAAGTTTCTTTGTCGGTTACTATAATTTCTTTTTAAGTATCATTTAAGTGATTATACCGTCTGTGCTTTGCATTGTGCCTTGTCCTGTTTTTGTTTGGGATCCTTTTCTCCTTGCCGCTGGCTCTTGTTGTTTTTGGGTCTTGTGCGGGTAACGTTCATTGAACGCCGCCTTTCCTTGTTGATCAGGTTTATCATATTAGATCTTTCTGCATCTTCAACTTGGAATTGCTTGCAATTGATTTGCCTCACCTTAAATAAATATTTAAGTAAACAGTGAATCTGAGAAGAATCAGTACTTCACATGAATTTACAGTCTAGCTGTAATGTACTGTGTTCTTTCCAAAGTATGAAAATATGTTGCAAAAAATCTGGAAACAAAGTGATCCCTTGAAAGCATTAATCACAACAAAATTACAAGAGAATTGCAGACTCGTTTTGATTGAGTCTGTACATGAGGGATAATGAATACGTGCAACATCCCTCACGCTCCCTAGCACCAGCTTGAGCAGTATCCTACTCTCAACACTTTATAGTGCTGGCATCAATGATCCCGAAGGACCAGAAAAATATAACAACACTGAAGTGAAGTACGGGGCAACTTTTACAGCTGCCACACAGCACTTGACACTTGCTCTTGTGAAGTATAAAAATCTGGAAACAAAGTGATCCCTCGAAAGCATTAATCACAACAAAATAAAAAGAAACATTCAGACTCGGTTTGATTGAGTACATGAGGGATAACACTCAACACTTAATAGTACTGGCATCAAAGATCCCGAAGGACCAGAAAACTTTTACAACACTGAAGTAAAGTACGGGGCAACTTTTACAGCTGACACACAGCACTTGACACA